AGTTTTGTACCCACCTTTATTTTTGTCCAGTTAAAACTTTTCAGAATCTGTTAGATGAAGGCCCATTAACTGTAGGTGTGGCCCTTATTTCACCTAGCAGAAAACAGTTACCTGGGTGTTAACTGAAAACAAACTTGGAATGTGATAATATACCCTAAATAGGGAAGGGCTTTGAAATGCTTGATGTTATGGTACTGGCTCTTAGCCTGTGAATTCATATATATAAAAAATGTTTCCAATTTATTAAAAATCCCCATTTTCATTTTTCTTTGTACAGTGTACAATAATAAGCTAGCTTGGTAATTTTTTTTTTTTTTTTTCAACAAGGTCGGGGCCATCTCCCACCGAGGCAGGGTGACCCAAAAAAGAAAGGAAAATCCCCAAAAAAGAAAATACTTTCATCAATATTCAACACTTTCACCACACTCACACATTATCACTGCTTGTGCAGAGGTGCTCAGAATACAACAGTTTTAGAATAGGTACGTATAAAGATACTACCAACAAAACCCCCAAACTAACTGCCAATAACCACAAACCCCTCCTTTAAAAGTGCGGGCATTGTACTTTCCCATTTTTCCAGGACTCAAGTCCGACTATATGAAAATAACTTGGTAAATATCCTTGTTAAATATGAGTACTTATGCAAGAAACCCATTTTTACTTGATAAAATTATTCTTTGTAATTAATTGTTGCAGGTGGACTGTGTTTTAGCTATGTCCCCACAACTGTGTGACGCACTCCTCACCAATGAAACTACAACAATATTTTGGAAGGACTTTCCCTGCGTGCTGTTTCCACACTTTACGAAAGGCAATTGCTTGATAATTTTCGAGCTGAGAAAGATAAAAATGCCCGCTGAGAATAAGCGCTGCTTCTTAATTCATTTTCCCAGGTAAATCTGTCTATGACTCTTTATAATGAGTGATATTTATATATGAATTTATAATGTAAAACACTTAAGCGGTATTAACCCTTTGAGGGGTCACAGACCCTCTCCGAAATCTCGTATCTCAGGGTCGGGGCCAAATTTCAAAAAAAAAAAAATTATTTTTCTTATGAAAAAATAGAGTTTTTTTTTTTTTCTAAACATTAAGGCTAAACAAAAAAATTTTACGTCAATTACTTACCGAGATATGGAGAGTGAAATTTGGCCCAAAATTGAACAACATTGGTAACATCGCCGACTGCCTCACCCGGTATTTTTACTATTTACTTTTTTTATGTACTATTTTTTCAATTATTTTTCAATTTTTCTTATTCTTGTAACTTTTAATGGCCTCAGAGGCCAACATGATCAGATTTTGTAATTATTTCTTTTTCAATACTACACAATAAGGGCGTAAACGACTGATGTCATTATTTTGTTTACAGAAAATATTTACACAAACAAACAATATGAAATGTTGTTTATTTACTATTTTTTCTATATTTTATATACACATATACAGTCACAGGGAATGTTTCTAGAAGTTCTGAAGCCTGTGGAAGTCTTTGAAAACATGGTGGTCATCCACACGGAGTTTTACACTCCTCACACATAAACGATGTCTCAGGCATTGTTGTGAGCGTTTTATTTGTATGGTGCACAGACGTAACACCTCTTCTGAGCCTTTTTTCTCAAAGCAGTAGCAGGCAGTTTAAACAGGAAGTGATCACCATGCTTCAGACGAGCAGGTAGTTGTTGAAAATTTTGGTGGGCGGTCAATTGCAGGTGCTGTTCCTTGGTACTTAAAACTATTTGTCTTGATACGACAAACAGAATTCGCCGTACTGTGGTTTGTTTCTGGTGCTCATCTTTTACATATATAAACATTGAGCAGGAAATGTCCCAAAGAAGGAAAAAGTTTGATGTACCACTTATAACACTTGCGAACACAATCAGCAAACCCAATCTGCAATGTCACATTTGTCCACTGAACGAATTGTTGAAGTGTAATCAATCCACAGCTGCAAGTTTTAGAATGGGTTTCAATTCTCTCTCTATGCTGCCTGCCAATGTCTGCCATTTTCATTAGGGTGAAATTGAGTGACAACAGTGTGAACAGTCTCGTTTGGCATTCCACCGAAATGCCATGATGTCATGCAGCAAACGCTGCACCCTCCCTCACCCTCACCTCTACGAGTGCCACGTCAAACCTGGCAATGTTTTCCTGATTTGCACGCCATGTGCCCACACACATCTGTCAGTTCACTCGCAAAAAATCACTGGAGTGATGGGCTGTGTAACAGTTATCTGTATATAATATATGCCCTTACCAAGGTAGGTTCTATCATTTGTTCGCGAACCCACATCACCTGAGATGCCACAATAACTTCTGGTATTTTGCAATGTTATACTTCCAGTGTACACAATAATATTCCAATACCAGAACCACTGTAAACTGCTTGATCAGAAGTAGTAAAATGTTTCTCCGGGCTTGATCAGCGGGAAATTATTAAATTGTTATCCCCTGTTAAACTCAGCAGTTTATAAAAGGTTATTGGGGCCCTTGGGGACTCACCCAGTGTTTAAATGTTATTTTCCGTGCGGGGACCAGCGAAATTTAAAAACGGGGAAACCCCCCCGGGTTTAAATCAGCAGTAATAAAAACAGGTTTCTCCCTGTTTTGATCAGCGTAGTATAAAGGTTATCTCCCGTTTGACTCAGCAGTGGGTATAACGGTTATCCCCCGGCTTGACTCAGCGGTTAGTAAAAACGGTTTTCCCCGGGTTTGGGAACTCAGCAGTGTTTAACAGGGTTTCTCCTTTGTTGACTCGCAGTAATTTAACATGTTATCTCCGTGTTTGACTAGCAGAAATTAAAAACGGTTATCCCCCGGTTTGGGGACCGCATTTGGGTTAAACATGGATCCCCCTGCTTGACTAAAGCAGTTTTATAACGGTTATCTCCCTGCTTGATTTCAGCAGTAATATAAAGGTTATTCCCTGTTGTTTCAGCAGAAATTATTACATGTTTTTCTCCGTGTTTGACTCGCAGTAAATTAACAGGGTTATCTCCCTGCTTGACTCAGAAGTTAAATATAACGGGTTTTCCCCCTTGTTTGACTCAGCAGGGTAGTCACACGGGGGTTCAAAAAGGGCGCGGGTTTTAGTTACCCTTACAATAACCTTAAACATAATTTACCACCATTGTCCTCCCCCCTATGGGGTCACAATTCTCTTTTCAATGGTAATATTAACCTTCCAGTGCTCTTAATATATATTCCTTGTAAAGTTAAATTGATTTACTTTTTTTATACACCCAGAAATCGTGTTTTTTGTTTTAAAGATTTTATTTTTTTACAATATGTGATTATTTTCAATTTTTGTTAAGTATGAAAAAAAGCCCCCTATCATACCGGGGGGGGGTGAATTAATATGAGGTTTTGGCCCACTGGCCCATGTAGGGGTTTGGGATTTGGTGCCTTTTATTGTTGGATGATCCTACTTTAAAGTTTAAAAATTCGTTTATTCCTAGGAACTTTTATTGTAACTGGGTTTTTACGTTGAGTTACTTAATGTTTAACTTTTAAAAGGGTTTTAAAAAGTAAAATATTTCAAGGACCCCCAAAGGAAAAAGTCACTTTTTTGGGGGGTTTTTTCCCAGATAAATTTTCACTTTTTGATAAGTGTACTTAGGGGTACCTGTGCCGAATTAAAAATTACTTAAAATTTTTGCATTAAATAACACTACCCGGGGGTTGTTCCACTTTCTACAACTTGTTGGCAAACCGGTACATCCCAGGACATAGGGGGCTCCCGGGGGGGCAAAAGCGCTCGCTTTACTCGGTGGGGCCTGGGTGTTTTTATTCCCGGCCCGAGTAGAAAAAATTTTGGGGGTGTTTCTTTACACCTGTTGGGCATTTCCCCCTCAGTTTAAAATGGGGGGACCTGGGGGTTTGGCGACTGGTGTGGGGCGGCCCCCTGGGGGCACTGACCTAATTTGCCGGAAATACTGGCATAAAAAAAGGGGTTTTTTTTTTATTTGTAGTATGGCATTGATTTTCAGCTAGGCCTTATTTCCCTGTACATGACTTGTAGTAAATAAAGGGTTTTAAATTTTTATTAAAATTTTTTATTATTAAAACCAAATTTCTCCAACTTGAATCCATTTTAAAGCGAGTCCTGGGCCTTTATTAGATATTTTTCAAATGCTGTTGATACCCTTTTATTTGTTCCTGTTACCCATTTGTACACTTCAGTCGTATCTCTGCCTAATTCTGTGTCTTTCCTTGCAAGGAGTACACGTACAGTGTCATCAACCCATTGTCTTCGGAAACGTTTCTTGTGCATGGAATCAACTTCGTCATCATTTTCTATATATTCAAGGATCTGACTTTTTGGGGTTATCCTAGGTAATTTACACCATGTATAATAATTGTACTTAGTATGTGTACCTGTACCTAAATAAACTTAATTACTTACTAAGTGCACATATTTCCATCCTCTAATATGGAGACCAGAACCAGGCAGCATAATCTAAGTGAGGTCTAACAAAAGATATATAAAATTGAAGTATAACCTTTGGACTTCTATTACTGTATTTATATTTCTTGATGTGAAGCCAAGAATTCTACTAGCTTTATTACCTGGAGGGTGTTCGGGGGTCGACACCTCTGTGGCCTGGTCCATGACCAGGCCTTGTGGTGAATCAGGGCCTGATCATCCAGGCTGCTACTGCCAGCCATACATAATCCACTACCTGACCTAGCTGGTCAGGAACTAACTTTAGGTATATGTCCAGTTCCCTTTTGAAGACAGCCAGGGGTCTATTGGTGATCTCCCTTATGTATGCAGAGATGTAGTTGAACAGTCTTGGACGTCTGACACTTATTGTGTTTTCTTGTACTCATGGCACCACCTGCCAAGTCTTTTACTTTTATAGGGAATAATTTCTATGCACTGTTGTCTTGCCTTTTAAATTTCTGCAAATTTGAGTTCCTAGATTTTTTATTAATTCACTTTCACTAAGGTCTCCACCGTATGTGCACATTTAATCAAACTTGTTTGTTTCCAGTGATGGCATCAAGGGATAGTGAAGACACAGGCAGTGGTTCTGGTGCTTCAGGTTTGGTCCATCATCAACACCAAAACTCTCAGACTTCTAGTATGACAGCTGCAGTTGGAGCTGCAGGAGGAGGAGCAGGATCAGGAGGAGGGATGCCTGTTGGAGCAGTTGCTGCAGGCAGCTCTCAAGCAGCAGGGGCAGGAGAAGCAGCTGGGAGAGTTAGCAATGTACAGCGTATCCAGCAAAAGAAAGCACAAGTGAGAGCTTGGCCCCGGGACAAGAAGCTGGAGAAGCTGGCCATATATTCTTCATGTAGGGTGAGTAGATATACCTGTAGTCCCTTACAAGTTTTTCTTCTCTTGAAGAGTGAGAGATATGTGCAACATTTGGGAATCTTGTACAAGTGTCTCATTCTTCAACTTGTCAATTCTTCATCTTGTCAATTTTCTAAGCCATTTATATAACATTATCTGCTCTTATAGCCCAGCCTGAAGCAGCCTTTTTTTTTTTATTGATTGCCTATTCAGCCAGGTTGTCGCTGTTGGCTGCCTTCTAGCTCATGTAGGTTCACAGCCTAATTGAGGTAATGATCTAGTTTCCACTTGAAAACTTCTGCTCTTGTTCAAGCAATATTTAGAGGTAGGACCCAATTTTTTGACCAAACTACAGTACTGAATTTGTGGCCAACATAAAATCTTAACTTGCCACTGTTGCCAAGCACAAGTGACTAGCTGCAGTTCTAAATTTATTAGTATTAAGCTTTATAATTAAAGGCAGTCTTACTTCCCTGGAATAAATCTGTCGATAGAGTAGATAGGAGGCTTATTAGTTGAATCATCTACCCCATTAGAGAGGATCTCTTGGAAAGACAGATACGAGAGATCTAGATAGATTTTAAGAGGACACAAGAAACTCCGAACTCACAAGTTTTAATACTTGAATTCAGTCACCAAACCAGGTAATGTTGGTTGTACAATATATGAGAAAAACTATTCTAATTAGCCAAATGTTGAAATACTGTATATAAATATTTCCATCTAGTATGTCTTATCAATACATTAATGTATGTTTCATATAATCTAACAGGTGATGAAAACTGCAGGTGTAATGGGTGGAAGAATCCAACACCACCAGCACACCCTGCACGGCCAGGACACACCCCAGCCTGCTGCACCTCCGTCTCAGCCGTGTCGCAGCTGCACACATACCTTAGGTAGTCATGCACAGTGGTTTAAATTGTATTTTAATGTTTACCCTAAAGTAATATTTTCTCAAAATAAATGTTTTGTGGTTGCCACCTGTTACCTAAGCATATTGCTGTTTTGTCAGGTTTAACTTGTATGGTTTACTATTTTGCATTATGGTATTTTGGTTTTATTAAAAAAATAATACAGTATTTAATGGAGTCCTGGAGGTGGGAAGGGCACTGCCTGCACTCTGAAGGATGAGCATGAGTGTTGCAGTCATGGGTTATCTGTTGGAGCAGTCAGGGTTAATCTGGATGCCCATTGAGTTTTAAAAATAAAATTAAAAAATGAAAAGTGAAAGAAAAAATAATGGGCCACATGAATAAACAGTACAGATTGTATAGAAAAATATTATAACTGTCAGAAGACTTATTGACATAAGATTTTTCCCTTGGTTTTTTCCACCATGTTAAGGTGACAAAGAAGGATATACATTCACCATCATTCCAGAGGGTTCACAAGTATCACAGTTCAAATGGCCTTCTAAACAACAACATCACCACCCATTCTTCGGAGTTCAGGCAGTCCAGTGAGCTCAGAGTTCAGTCTGGTGAGCTGGTTTACCCGGGACTCTTAAAAATTTCTACCTTGGGAAGCAACTTTGAAATCTAATACTGCAGCACAAGAGTTAATAAAATATCTCTGTCTTGATGCCTGAACCTTCTCTGTCTGACATTTATTGTGCTATTTCTGTTACATTTAATTTTTTTTTTTTGGAATGCAGTATTCCATGTCTTTGGGTAGGTGATTTTCTATGCCACAAAAGGGGGGAAACTTGTAAATATAATATAATTAATATTTTATTTCAGTATGATACAATGTTTGTACAGAGATGGGTGACATTTGTTGTGCATACAAAAGCCCATATTATGTAGAGCATGATGATGATGATGATGATTTATAATAGAAGAGAAGCAATTATAAAGATTTTGAAGGAAAAATTGCCTTATTCTTAGGATCTGGATACTGGCAATATATATGGATACTTCTGAACAGGGGTGAGGGTGTTGCACTTCGGAAAATGACCTAAACTGTGATTTCGTTACTCTTTTTGCAAGACGGGGATTTAATGAATGATGATTAATGTGGTTCCTCGTTTTTGGGGGGATGTCACCTTTCCTCAGTTTGGGGGATAGTTAGTGGGGTTAAATAAGAAATTTAATGGAGGGTAGTTTAAACAGTTTATCATCTTTGCACCCAGGTGACCATGAATTTACCTTGAATCTGCTGGA